TATATATATATATATACAGAAATTTTTGTTTTATTTCTTAAATTCATTACGCACGGCCCATAAATATTTTAGATATTTCATGTGTTCTCACATGTAGGTACAGTATAAAAATGTGATTTTTATTATTAGATATTTCAAATTGTGGCTTTTTATTTCGAATCGTATAATTCTGTTATTTTAGTATTATTCCGCATTCTTGATACGAGAAAAGTAACAAATAAATTATATTTAAATTACATATCTCTAAATGTATGTGCATGCTATTTATACATATTATTCTATTTAGTCGAAATTGTTTTATAATTTAAAATAAATTTTTGCATTTAATCTTCATTTAAAATTTATGATATATTGTTAATCTTTATTTAATTGTAAATCACAAAAAAGAGCAATAATTGAGATATAATGTTGGGATATTAAAAGCACTTCATGTGAGCAATTATGTAAGAAAAATCATGCTAATAAAAACCTCTTTTTACTTCTTGCTTTTTGTCAGCACATTGTAATTGATACGAAATATTTAAAAATTAATATTATAAAATGAACGTCAAATATGTTCCTTAGTGTATCACGATATAATTATGATACACTACATTAAACGACTCGCGCCGCTAAAATTAGCTAAAATTAGATACATATAAGAAATTATTTCATTAATCGGAGAACATTAAAAATATAAAGAATATATTATTTTACTTCGTAATATGTGTTATATTTAATATTTCGGCAGTTAGATGGTTGGCACGCGACCTTGAGGTGGGGATGGCACGGGGTGGCACGGAGCGGCGCGTCATGTTTATGCTTAGTTACTGCGCAGTCATTTCTTTACCAAAGCTCGTACAAACGAGTAGCCGTGTCGCATGCGGCTCTTTTTCATTACTTTTTCAAATCTTATCGCGAAGAATTCCAAATATAATACGAAATATACTTTGTTGTACTTAATGAATAATTAATCATACTAGTAATATATTCGTATTATGTGAATACAATATTTCGTATTATATCTAGCATTTTTGGCGATTTTTATATGTTTTAGAAAGAAATGTGAAGAAGAGCGGCACAGCTACTTGTCTGTACGAACGGTATCACACGTGTCATAAAAAAGCAACGTTAATATAAATACTCTAGTGCAAATAACGCTTTTACAATTAATATAGTTTAATAATTTAATTAATTTTCTTGTTTTTGTGCATTATTTCATTTTACAATCCATTTAAAAATTAAACTTTGAATTTTTCTCTTTTTTATTAATCTCCAGCTCATTTTATTAACTCTAATCATATCTTACAGACATCATTTATAAATAAAAAATTCAACCCTTATCTTTCAACCTTTATCTGCTCTGAATTTATTTCGCAATGATAACAAATTGCAGTCGTGTGTTTGATATTCGTTTCTAAATGTTAAACGATGCATAATAATTGTATAGTAATATATATAACAGTTATATATTACATTTTTCAGATTATCTTCTCTCTCACGGGTACGATCTTGACGTGGTGGGAGGACTTAATACCCTAAAGATATACACGAAAAGAACGGTTTTTCTTAAGTATCTAAAAATTTTCTATCTGAATGTATCTAGATAAATTTTTAAATACTTGAGTAAAATCGTTCTCTTCATGTAAAAATCCAACGATGCGGAAACTACAATCCTCGTCATACAACATATCCTCATCGCCGATTAAATTGAAAATGAACAGCTGGTTCGTCGCGTCTGCTTCGGGAATGCCGTTCAAAGATTTATTGGACTAATAGACATTTCATAAAACTCATTTTAATTATAATTAATTATAACTAGTCCGCGCGTGATTATAGAATATTATTCGCGAGTGTTTTACGTGAATGTCCTGTGCGAGAGGATGTCAACCCAATTCTGAGAGGAGGAGGAAGTCTAGAAGAAGGCATTAGGCATCGGCGGAGCAACCTTGCGGTAAATATTATTTTTTTGCCTATGTTCGAATTTATTCTTGAGTCGTTTTATTTTAAAAAATAATAAGTAGAAAAAAGAATTATTTTAAAATTAAAATTTGAAATTTTATAAATATGTATTTTTAAGAAAATATATAATTATTTTTATAAATACTATATACTTGAATGGTGAATTAAAAAATTCGATGCTTATAAAAATTGTATATTTTGAAAATTATATGATTATTTTCAAGAGATCTCTGTATAATAAATATTTTTTAATAAATATTTTAATAAATATTTTTTAAAATATTGATTTATTTTTTTAATTTAGATTTTATATTCTTTTTGTTACAGAATCGTAGCGACGGTGCTGATATAACTCCGCTGTTGCGCATCGGACTGGTGAGTGATAAATTAATGTTTTTATTGAAGTAACGGACATGATAATTTTATTAATTACTATATATAGATGCATATGCATCAATTTATTAAAAATATACGGATAATTGCATGTATAAGGTTCCATACATCCGTTGCCTTAAAATGGATAAGTAATAATAGATTGGGATAAATTTAATATAAATAAATTCTGGATACCTCTTTATTATATGAAATTTATTGTGCATGCATTGCTAAATTTATAATGTTACACCCACTTAGTACAACAATTTTTCATGCATGAATATGTATAAATATGTATGAATATACATAAATATGTATAATCATATGAAATATATCCATACATGTTCATTCATCCTTCTTTGTTTTGTAAAGTTACTTTTTAATATTAGGTGGGAAATAATAATAGTAATGTAAAAACATTAAAAATAATTAAAAGAGTAATTTTTATACTATTTGTTTTAGAAAAAAATTATGTTTGAAGAAATGTAAAAAAGTTATTTATGTATAATTATATATAAAATTATGTATAATTGTGTATGAGCAATTTTTTTACATTTTTCCAAACTTTTTTTCTGAAACGAACAATGAGAAAATTAACTCTTTAATTATTTTTAATGTTTTCATATTATTATTATTTCTATTACATTAAAAAGTAATTTTACAAAAGAAAAAGATATGTATACATATTTTGTATATGATTATACATGTTTATGAATATTTATGTTTATACATATTTATACATATTTATGCATGAAAAATTTTTTATCTTTGAATTATTTTTAATTATTATTAAATTTAGCTCAAATTTTTTGTACTAATAATAAATTCATACCTGTTAATGTGAATGCTTTGTTATTAAGTAATTTAATCTCAAAAGTGTAAAAAATAAGTTCTTTCGATGGTCGTTTTTTATTTTAAAATAATACATGATACTTGAAAATTAAAACGAAAAAAATTAAATATTCGTATTTTTGAAATATATGAAATACGGAAAATTAAAAAATATAAAATTTATATAAAATAATAATTATGAATATATGAAATTGTTGTATATGGATACCATTATGTTGAAAAGTGTTTAATAAATATTGTTTTATTATTTTTCCTATCTATCCCATTTCTAAATATTCATTCAGAATTAAGTTTTATACAAATTGGTGCAATTATTGGTATTGCTTTTTATTGGGTATTGCTATGTACACATAAACGTATAATATTAACTGTTTTCTAAGAAATTCTTTCTACTTGCGTTTCACACTTATTTGTATACACGTACATCTTACTAATGAAATGATAACAAAAATTTTAATGTAAATATAATTTATTAATTTCGCTTTTCTGTAAAAGACATTTTACATTTAATTATTATTATTTATTAATGCACTTACTTCAGCCTAATCTTTTATAACTTATCCATATTTAATAACTGGATTTTATATCAGTTAAAGTAATAACATGATGTAAGATCCAATATACATTTTATCAACAAATATAAGAATTTTATCTTATAACTATTTTTTTTATCGTGTTCAAAGTTTTGCATGACTTAAAATACTTAATTATGAAATAATAAATTATTCAAAAAATTATTTTAATATACAAAATATGATAGGAATATATTTATTGAAATGAGAAAATTATTCCTTTCGGCTCTTATATCATTCATTTAAATTTCTCATCTCCGCATGTTTTTAGATGAGATTCAGCAACGAATTATTCGAATCATTAAAAATATGGGCCTTGAATTTTATCGGATAATGATTTAGTAATTTTCAGTCATTTATTAAGTTTTTTTGATTACATTATAAAATTTACATTAAGAAATTTAATCTAATTTCATAATATTCGAAACTCTTAAAATAAAACATTATTGATATGAAGATTTTTTAATTTAGATTTAATTTGTTTTTAATCGAATATTTAGATTTTTTTATCTTGAATAATTGCGAATAGAAAATAAACGCAAAATTTATTCATATATCAATAGAATTATTATTGTATTATTTTAATGATAATTGTTTATAATAATATTTAATCAATTTTATTAATATGATAGCCTCTTCGCGACGCATTAGTGTTTCGCGCATCATACAAAAGCATATAGTCTTACGATTATTGCCAACAATATTAGTCAATATTAGACAGTTAATCTGACCAGAAGAAAGAAGAGAATCTCTACGAGCCCAATGTTTAAAATCGATGCATAAGACAACTTTCAAAGATATTTCAGAATTCTTTCAGAATTCATTTTCTTTCAGAATTCTTTATAAAATATTTTAAAGACGTTTCTTAAAGAATTCTCAAAGATATCTTAAAATTGTCTTATGCGTCGATTTTAGACATTCTGCTCATTGAGAGGTAGGTTAGTGGTGACACCAATCTAAGTTTGTAAAAGGTAAACTGAATATTCGGGAGGGTAATTTGTTCAAAAAAATATATTTTTTGAGAGTTATTTAAAATATAAAAGAAACCAACAAACAACAGGACTAATGAGAGTCAGATAGATTAAAAAATCTACAAAACTTGCGCTTAATTATCCGCGCTGATTAGCCTTGTTTCTTGTCAATTTTTTTGTATTTTAAAGATTGAAAGCCTGTTTTAATTATTATTAATTAGAAATATATTTTAAGAAGGGCTATGAACCAAGAGAATACACATAAATTATAAATAATAAGCTAAATATATTAATAAGCGCTAAACAAAATAAGCGCTAAACAACTTAAAACAAATGGTGTTTTGACTCCGATCAGATTATTTTCATCAGATTATTTTCATTGTTAAGCATGTAAAAACTTTCAATAAAATATTCGTATAAACATATATTTGAAATATCAACGGCTTAATGCTAATTTTTAGTATAAAAATTTAATTTTTTACAAAGTTTTACATGCTGTAATAATATTGTCCTCGAATTTTGAAACATCCTGTATATCTAAACACATAAACTATAAATTAATTATGTTGAAAAATTTTACAATAGTCGCACAGTTGTTTTTTCTGCTGAACGCAGCCATTAGAATAAATTAAATATATGTAATAAAAATAAAAATTTTATACTATTTTAAATAAAAATTTATTATGTATTATATTTTATAACGTTATATTACATAACAAAATATATTACATATGCATATACAAAAGCTATGATTAATTTAACATAAAGTTATTAATAATAAAGAAATCATGACTGTACAGTACAATAACACAGGCCCACGAAAAAAAATATCCTATGCTGGGGTAGAGATCCAGCTATTTTGAATCGCTGAATATGAATCTGACGTCAAGATAGGATCATCTAGAGCAAATTTTTAATCTATAGAGCGAAAAATCCATTTTTCCCATTTTGATTCATTTTTTCGCTCTAAAGAATGAAAATTTGCTCTAGATGATCCTATTTTGATGTCAGATTCGTATTCAGCGAATCAAAATACATAAGAATAGTTAGGTCTTCATCCCAGCGGGATACTTTTTTTTTTGGATCTATAATTATTTAAATCAATAACACATTGAATATCTCAATAAAATTGAAATACATAACATAAATAAACTTGAAGAATATTACGTTTTGTAACTATATATTATATATTATCTCTGTTTATGCTTAATAATTAAATAATGCAGTATAATTTAAGTTTCGTTTTTTATCATTTAAAGGAAACAAAGATTTATAACTCAGAAATAAATGTTTTCAGTAATAAAAATTACTTAATTATTAATTTAATTTAGTATTAACTTCACTAATAAAAAATAAATATAATAGTTTCTTCATCTATCATATCTATATTCGTATTACTTTATAGTACAAACATAGATATAAAAGCTATAATGATAGAGAATAAGAAGATTGAGTCGACGTACATTAGATAAAATTATATAAATTCAGAGCTTGTTTTTTCTGAAAAAGACAAAAGTATTCCAAACATATACAATTCTGTTTATATAATTATATGATATTATATGTCTTTGTTATTTATTTATATTGTTTATATTGCACAAGTTATTTATCCTTCTTATTATTCAAGTTGAAATCATTAAGAATAAATAAATTATGTATAAACATAGGAAATGATGAATATAAAGATTTATAATTTTATACAATAGAATTTCAACAATCGCAAAGAGATTTGTAATAAGAAATGTTAATTTTATTTATTAATAATGGTATTTGATATCTCTCCACTTTTTACAATTATATTCCATTTTATAAGTGTTTGGAAACAAGTCCAATAATTTGAATAATTTTCAATAGAAAAATTTAATATAATACTCGAGATTTTGAAATATTAAATGAAAAGTACATGAGATTGATTTAAATCTATAATCTTAGATACAAAATGTATCTATAAAATAGGTATAAATCATGAGCAAATTTCATTTTTCATTAAATTTTTCAATTACTGAGAGCTATCAAAAAGTTTTTGCAGTTCCAATTTCACTGCCATGACAGCTAGAAACTTTTGATTTTCTATCTGGATCCATCGCGATTGAAATAAATTCCTCGGAAATTCTTTTGTCTAATCCCGTGTAAGTCTGAGCCAAATCAACTTGATCTTCGTTGATCATCTTTGGAGATTCATTTTTAACTTCAGTATGCCTTTTTGTTTCTTCCTGATCTGCGAACGGCTGACGTTTGTGTTTTGATCGGAACTAAAAACAAATACATGTCATTTTATAAAGTTATAAATAAGTAATTATTTAAGAGATGATTAAAGGTGCGGTTCGTTTTCCGCTTACAACGCTTATAAGCATCACAATAAAATAGAAATCTAAAAGTTTATAATGTCTTTTATTAAACAGCATTACTTTAGTTATTTTTTTATTTAAATATTTTTGTTATTTATCAATAAAATATAAGACAAAATATATACATATACATAATTTAAAAACCACTAAATTTTATTTTTGTATTAAACCGTATTTAACTGAAATTAATTTCTATGTTTAAATATGACATTTTGAAAAACACAATTTAATTTTTTATAATAAGTCAATTTTCATTATTAAAATATTAATAGTATATTAACATATAGTATTTAAAAAAATGAATAGTTTAAAAATTTGGTGGATAGTTGAAAATTTCGGTTTTTTTTTAAACATACTTTTATATTTAATGATTATTATTAAATTAAATTATTATTATAGATAATCATAAATATTATTGTGAATTAAAAATGTCTACGTATATTTCAGGGTGATGACAGCATGAGATTATTTTTTATATCCTTTATTGAACTGTATAATTTTAGTTATTAATTTATAATCAATGAGTTTATATATGTATATTCGAAAGCTTACCATCTGAGATTGCGGCCGTCCAGGATACGGAGGCATATGAGATAACATAGGCATAGCACCATATGGCATCGGTGGAAGAGATCTAGCAGATACAAATCCTCCGGGTGTCGATGGCATACCGTATGGTGGCTACAATAAACACAAATTATTTTTTATATTTAAATATAATCTCAATTTTTTCACAAACTCTTTTGTTTTGATCAATCTATTTAAATATATTTAATTGTAAGCAATGTATTATATTTTTTTTTAGAGATTTGTAAAAAGATATATATTTACATCTTTTAAAAGTTATCTACATTTTTTTTAAAAACCGCGATGAAGAATATACGGAATCAAGAAATGAAGAAATGCAAAGAAGAGAAAATAGAAGACAAAAGATATAAGAGACACAGGAATGTGTTGAAATACAATAAGTATCATAAGATAAAAAAGAAGAAATGTTCGAGAGAAGAATATGTTATGAAACAATAGAAAAAAAAATTTAAAAGAGAGCAACAATGATAAGAAAATGATAAGAAAAGAGAAAAGAAGGAGATAGAAAATAGAAATAGAGAAAAAAGGAAAGAAACAGATAAATAAGCGCAGATAGAAATCATGCTCTTATAGAGTTGCTCCACCTTACAAAACATAGTTACAGCTATTGAAGTCGTGGGAAATGGCCGAAAGCGCTTACCTGAATCATTGGATGTATTGGCACTGGCATCGGGTGCACTAAGTAAACAGGTGGTTGTTGGTTTTTAGTTGGCATATGATTTTGCGTGACAACCCACTGGTGAACCATATTACTCGTCTTCAGATGACCGTCAATCACCATCTCATCGGTAGTATTCGCTCGCAGGCAGCCACATAACTTCGGTGTCAAGGTCAAACAACTATAACCGGATACTAATAGCTCTGCCACGCTAGCCACTAATAGGCCAATGCTCGCTAACAAACCCGCCAAGCCGTTATCTACTTCCATCACATTGCTATCATTACCCTGAAATACATAGACATTTTTAATTCACAATAATATTTATGATTATCTATAATAACAGTTTAATAATAACTATTAGATATGGGAAAAAGTTCGTGGCATTTTTTCCGTTACATCTAATGGGAAAAATGCCACGAACTTTTTCCCACACCTAATATTAAATATAAAAGTATGTTTAAAAAAAAAACCGAATTTTAAAATATCCACCGAACTTTTAAATTATTCATTTTTTAAATACTATATCTTAATATACTTTTAATTAATACTTTAATATGCAAAATGAGAATTGACTTATTATAAAAAATTAAATTGTGTTTTTCAAAATGTCATATTTAAACATAGAAATTAATCGAGAAATAATTATAAAAAATATACCGAAAGGCTAAGAAATGACACGTCTGGTGCCCTCTGTGAATCCCTGACGACCGCCGTTAATGCTGTTATAGTGGCCATGTTTGAGAGAGCAAGTGCGATCAAACTGGACGCAAGATGAGCGGATGAAAAGGCAGAATTTGTTTTAGTAGACGAGGCCGCTAATGTTGCAACCACTCCTAGTGCACCAGCAACTAGAGCGGCTGCACCTGCCCAGAGTCCTGCACCAGATCCGCCCAAAGAAGCACCATGGACGAGCACCAGGATACCAAAGACGACTAAGACAACACCTAAGTGCAACATGAATCAATTATCATCTTCTTCACTCTTGGGAAAATAATAAAATATGATATATAATATATAATATAGGATAATAATATCATTATGATAAAATTTGTCAAAAAAACTCTGTTATATTAGGTGTAGTAAAAAGAAATTCATTATTTTTGCATGAAATTGAATGGAAAAATAATGGATTTCTTTTTACTACACCTAATATATCTCATAAAAAATCAATAGAATTATCTCGGGAAATTCTCTTGCATCAATTTACCAAGCAGCAATTGTCCACAAGATGTGAACATGAGCAGATTTGAGTCATCTTTGGCTTCGGAAGTCACTCGCAGATCCTGCTGATTTTCCGAACGCCTTGATAACTGATGTTGTTGTTGCAGCTGTTGCTTTTCCGGGATAAGGACATCTTTTGAGTGTTTTGATTCCAGATAACTCTCTGGTTTCAGTTCCGAATTCACAGAATCCTTCGATTCCTTCGAATGACTCGAATTTTGACTTCTCACCGTGGAATCAAGCACGATTGTCGCTGTATCTTCCATGATTTTTTACCAAGCAAATCAATCGTGCATCACTGATTTTTATAATAATGTCATGTCCTTCTGAATTATTATTCTTGGTCAGAACAATTTTTATCAGTAATCAATGAGTGATGCTATTCTATTCACAATATTATTTAAAATTCAAAATGAAGGCCCAAACAGTAAAAATTCTAAATTGCGACAAGAATCGTTTTCTGGTTGATTTGCAAAATTTTCGTGTGTTATTTCGAGTCTTTTGTCAATCTATTTTTATATATGAGTTATTTTTATGAAATGCTTATTTAATTCAATTTAATTCATTAAGAATTATTATCATAGGATCTTTCTAATCACAATTTGGTCATATATTTTCTTAAATTTATTCAACTTTATGTATCTTAACATGTATGGCGGTATATTTATTTTACAGATAAAAATAAAGAGAAGAAAGAAAAGAAAGAGAAAAGAGAGAAAATTTAATTATTGTAGATATAGATTATCATTGATAAATTTATCTCCTATCTTATCTTAAATATTTTTGAAAATTAGTAATAAAATTAGTAATAAAATATTTTGTATCATTCGGATTGCATTATTATTAATTTGTATATATTGTAAATTGATAATTTTTAGATTAACATTACAACTACATCGAACTCGAAGTAAATTGAACGTTGTAATCGCTGATAAGACTGGCAACGTACTCAGGATCGGAATTATCTGGAAATAAAACAAAAATTTTATAACATTTAATGAAACAAACAATAAGACAAATATATAATATCACAAAGAAATGTCATATCGTTTTATGATATACAAAATGTTTGATAATTAACGATAAATTTCTTGCATAGGGATAGAGCTGAGATTAAGCTGAGTCGAAAAGTTCTCTCTCTGAGTTCTCTACCATTTTGCAATTTTCGCAATAATTAACAAGATATCAATTACTAAACATCATCAAATATTAGTTTTCAATAATTTTTTTACTCGAGTACTATCAAGTAACAGAAAAACAGCAAGAGACAAAAATTATTTATTTTCTTCTCATAGAGCTGTTGTACCGCTCAGGGACTGCACTGCAAGAGCTGCAAGAGTGTCGCTCCGGGCACCGTTTATAGAATTTATGAGTCAGCCGTTAATCAGTCGTATCGTCAAGATGCTGCTCCGGACGTGGTGGTATCGTTTTGTAGGAGCTCGAGGTCCTCCAATTAATATAGGCCAGCGTTCGTGATGTAAGAAGTTTTATTGTCACTTACGAGTACTCGATGTGTTACAATCTTACGACGTCTCGCAGTAGCACTTGTAGTAACGGAGATTCTCACAGTAGTCGTGTGTCTTCTTGATTTTCGGAACGGTTCCTCGAAATGCTTGAGGCTTACGTTTTTATAAATTAGGCCGATATTACGTGATTGCATTTTAAAGTAAAGTATGTCATCGGTTTTGAAATCAAAAAGGTGATTTGATTTGTGATGCTTTAACTGCGGGTCTGCAGAAAATAAACAGACGTAGATTTTGGACTTATTTAAGTCATAACAGAGCTCACAAAATTTTTTTAGAATTTTTAATCAACTTTTAGTACTGCATTTTCTTTTTTATTGACAACTATTTTTACCAACATAAGAAAATGCGATACTAAAAATTCTGCAAAAATTCTCAGAGCTTTATGAAAAGAAAATAAACAATTTGTTTCACTTGCTGTTTTTCTGTAAGATTGATAGTACTTGAGTAAAAAATTATTTAAAACCAATATTCGGCGATTTTTAGTAATATCTTGTTAACTATTATAAAAATTGTAAAAGGGTAAAGGATTTTTTTACAATTTAGTCCATTCTATCCTTATGCAAAAGTTTTATTATTATTTAACAAATATCCTGTACATTATATATATATAAAACATAAGCGAGCTTTACTTAATTTGACCATTTGAAATTTCTTATTTTATCATTTCTAAAAACTTTTGCTGAAGTTTTCTCATAAATTCATTTTTTTTAAATTATTCTAGTGTGTTTTTTTTAAATTATTCTTTTAAAATGTAACAATCTATATACGTACGCATGTGCAATTTATGCATATACGTAATAAAAAACAAATGAAAAGGAAGAAATGCAATAAATAACTAGAATATATTTAATAATCCTTCAAAATATACATAACGAATTTGAATTTTAAATAATGATACGCATAATAATGAGAGTAATCAGTTTTATGTTTTAAATTGTATATATGAGCATTATCTCTTTCAATTTCAATTTTAATTATCTCAGTTTTAATTATATACAAATTTAATTAATTTATATGGACTAAAGTCTAGGTCAATATGGATCTACAAGCGCAGATGACCGATAAACGGGTCAGTTATGCATTATTAAAGTTATTCATTTAAATTAATTTATTCCGTTTTAATTAATTTATTTTTTGAATGAAAAGATATATGCAATCATCATTGTTGATCAGATTGTCTTTAATTTCAAGTAATAAGTTAAATCAAACTATTATATATTACAGTTAT